ATCGATCCTTTAGGTCAGAGGAAAGAGAACTATGCACATACACCGATTCTGGCCAGGCCTACCCTGAGCCCAGGATCGGTGCATACGCCCTCCTACCCTGGCCAGGAAGGCATATGCACCGATCCTGGGTCAAGGATGGGCCAGGCCAAGGTCGGTGCATGTGCATAGCTCTCTTCGCCCGACAGGTCCGAGAAACGCTCCCCGGAGCAGCCGAACGAGGCCGAGTGCTGCTCGGAAGCCGTGGGCCCCCACCCGAGGCTCCCGGGCCAGCGCGCGCCGCGCCCCAGAGACGCCTGGCAGCGCCCCAGAGGGGCCGGGGCCTGTGAGACCGGAAGCCCTCCCCCTCCCCCCTCCTCCTCCTCCTCCTCCTCCTCCTCCTCCTCCTCCTCCTCCTCCCTCCACTTGTCCTCCCTCCCTCCTCCTCCACTTGTCCTCCTCCTCCTCCTCTACCCTCCTCCTCCTCCTCCTCCTCCACTTGTCCCTCCTCCACCTCCTCCTCCTCCTCCTCCTCCTCCTCTTCCTCCTTTTCCTTCTCCTCCTCCTCCGGCATCTGAGAGCCTCGCGAACCCTCCGCCTCCCCCGAGGTCCGACGAGGCGGAACAAAAATGAAACGTCGCGAGGCATCACAGCCGGAGACTCAGACCGAGCCCCAGAATTACACCGAAACAGACCCAGTGCTCTGCAAAAGGGTTGGGCCCGAACCGAACCTTGTGGGCCCTCGCGCGACGCACCGCCAGGACGCCCTGGAAGGGCACACCCAGATCATCTGCGACCCGGAATTCTCGGCCACGGATTTCGGTCGCGGGGGGGCTCGAACTTTGGTAACGAAGATGCGGCGCGTCGGGGTCCCAGCGAGGGCTTTGAAGACGTCAACGGCTCGCTCGCTAATCGGAACTCGCAGCTTCCAGGCCGCACTCTGGCAGCGGCGGAGCACCGCCGAATCTCCGCAGCGGATGATCTAGGCAGAAAGGGCCAAGGCCCGTGAGATCGAAAGTCTGGGCCTGTGAAAGCGAAGGTCCGATCGAGCGCTCAAAGACGCCTCGTCCCAGTTGCGGGAGCGGCGTGCTCCATGCAGAAAGGAGGCAAGACGAAACCAGGACGATAATAATATCGGGTGAGGATGCATAAAAAATCTCTGAGATTCCACGGCTATGGAAAATTCATCGGGCGTCGCGGCCTTCTCAGAGCGTTCCCGAACGCTCTGAGAGCGTTCCGGAACTCTCTGGAACGGATAGATCTTCGTCCTAGCAACCCCCAATCTGACGTGTCGTCCCACTTGCGGGAGCGGCGTGCTTCATGCAGAAAGAGGAACACGTGCAACGGAACATACAGCTAAGGATCACTGCCCTCGTTCATCGCGACACAGATGCCCGCATGTATGACAAATGCTCGGCCCAAAAATCTTTCGCCAGCCTACCAGGAGCGTCGTGCACAACACGCTCCAAGCTAGCGCTGAAGCGAACTCGGAAGATCTGGGAATTTGAGAGCCTTACGAGATCCCACGCTGCGGAACATAAAACATCGCGAGAAATCACAACCTGAACCTGCGACTCCATCGACATTGGTCATTCTTGAAGCCAGATCTATCTGTGATGGTCCCGGGGGGAGCTGAAAACGGGCGAAAACGCCCAGTGCGAGAAAGTTGCAACGCCCGGATCTCCGCGTCTCTCAGTTGTTTCAGCCCCGAGGCGCTCCGCAGCGTGGCTTCTCGCGCTCATGGGGTCACACAGGAATCCGTCCGCGAGTGGCAGGCACGCGTCGCCGCGAAGGGGGGGGGGAAGGGGGCGCGCGTGGGAAGCGCGGGCCACGCACGAGCGTGGAACAAGGGCAAGTCCCGCGCACCGAGAAGGTGGACACCTTCGGGCCGCGCGCACGGGGCCCACGGGGGGAGCGACGGGCCATACGCATCGGCAGCAGACGGCTGGCCTCACCTGGGCCTTCCCTGACTAACCTTCCAGAGAGCTATTTTCTAGCACGGGAGGCCTAAAAACATAAAAAAACGAAACGAAACAGCCTAAAACCAAGACATAGAATAGCTCTGGGATAGGTTTTTTGGTCGCGTGCTATTTTTTAGCCCTCCTGGAAGGTCAGGGTTGCTGCGGGGCCACGCACAGCCCGCGGGCACACCCGGGCCGCGCCGCGGCCCTCCGGGGGGGAGCGCCGAGGTGCCGCGCGCACGGGCCGTGGCCGGCGGGCCGCTACCCTGGAGGAGCACAGGGCGGCGTCCGCGTGCACCGCCGGAGGTCCACGCGCCTTGGACTCGGGTCCACGCTCGGCCCGCCCTCCCCCCGGCGCGCCGAGCGCCCCAGGCGGGCGGCGCGGGGGGGGGGGTGACCCCTCCGCGCCGAAGGTATCTCCGCGCGGGCCCTCGAGAGTTTCTTGTTTTGCGCCGCTTTGTTTTTTGCTTGGCCTGCCCTGCCCTCGTCTTTTGCCTTCGCTGCCCTATTCCTCTGGCCTCTGGGAGTTTCTTGTCTGTGCCGTTTCCTTCTGCTCTGCCGGAACAGAAGGCACCGCTGCCACGGCCGCTACCCTTGCTGTTTGGCCTTCTTGAATCAGGAGGGGAACAAAAACACACACAGACACCAGTAATCGTCGATCCCCAGGAAAATATAGGAAAATATTGGAAATGGGGGGGAAGACAAAAACCCAGAACATATAGGAAACTATGGAGAATCCTGTTGTTTGTATGTATTTATTTGTGTGTCCCAGGGCCCCGTCATTGAAAAGGTGCGCCCTGGGCCCCCACGGAGCCCCTGGGCGCAGGCCGGCCGGCGCCAGGCCTGCGGGTGGCCCCGAGGTGGCCCCAAGACGCCGACGGACGGCGCGACGCGACACCAAGGCGGCCCCATATGTGGGACGCACAGAGACATTTTTTGATCTGCGGGGCGAGGGCGAACCTCTTCCGCTAAGAGCTAGGCGGGCTGCGCACAGCTTTCATGAGGGAGGCAGGGCACAGGCAGGCGGGGCCTCAGGCGGCTGGAGCGGGCGGGGCCCGGGGTGCAGGCGGACGCACAAAGACATACTAGTATACTATCTGTCCTCCTTGGAGGTGCGCGGCTTCGTCACAAGCATGCAGTCGGCCCTGACTGGAGAGGACGCGCGAGGGGGCACAGGACCCTTCTCCGAGGGCCGCCTCGCCACGGGAGTGCGGAAGGCACTGGTCGCGAAGAACAGGACGCAAGGGTACCCTCGATTGGGCAGGGTCGACCTACCAATCAGAGCCGACTGCATAGTATACCCATCTTGTAGTATATCGTTTCCCGAGCGGTGTGGCCAGAAAGCGCCCGCCGCGACGCACACACTAGAGGATTTCTCGGTGCGCGCGCATCGCCCCTGGGGGGGGGCTACGCACAGATAGTATAAGTACGTTGGAGTGACGCCGAATATAGTCCCATCCCAGGCCCCCGACGTAATGTTTTTTTTCATTACGTCGACCCCCAGAGGTCCCGACCCTTTCCCCATGACCGGCGTTGCATCCCGAGTCGTTTTTTGACGCTCCCGAGGCCCGGGGAGGGCCCCTGGAGGCCGAAAATTGAGAAAGACCTTCCGTCACAGAGCCCAGTGCACTGCGAGGACACGGCAAGAGCGCCGCTTCTGCGCCTCGGGGAAGCCCAGAAATCGCCAAACACCAACAGCTTTTCGCTGTGGTTCAACCTTCTCGCCTCTGCGAGCTCCAAATGAGGCCCCACGAGGGAACCCAACAGGTCCCCCGGAGAGCCATGACGAGACTCCGAGCCTCCGCAGTGGAGCACCCAGGAGGGCAGACAGAGAGCCCCAAGAGGCCCCCCCAAACCGCCCAAGAGCGCGGGTCAGGGGGTGTTTGTCCCCAGCTGTTGCCCCAAGTGTCCCAAGAACATCACCAAGACGGCCGACGCTGGCCCAAGCGATGTTCATTGGTCGCAAGTACGACACAGGATGGCTGGCGAAAACTTCCTCGGAGGCCCTCAAGAAGACCGACTCATGTAATCGCAATGAGCTGGTGATTGTTATGGCGTTCTCGCCGTTACGAGCTCCAATAGACGTTTCAAGCCCCGAACTTGCCCCAAGAGAACCCCAATAGTGCCCAAAGTAACCGTGCGGGGCCCCCCAATTTCCTACTGCAGGGCCCGAAGAGGGCTCCAGAAGGTCACAGGAGGGCCCCAAGAGGGCCCAAGAGCAGGGCCCAGTTAGCGGCAGGCCCAAGCATGGCCCCAAGATAGGCCCAGGCCATCCCCAAGAGGCTCCATCATGGCTCGAACGTTGCCACAGCCCCCAAGGGGCCCCCAAGAAGGCCCCAGAAGTCACTCGGAGTCCCCCACACGAAACTCCCAGAAGCCTCCGAGAGACCCACAAGAGTCCCCCAGGATGAAATGTTATTGTTCAACGCAATGGGCGTTTTGTCCGTTTTCCAGATCGACGTTTTCTGTGTTGAGAGCCGTTTTTTTCTCCGTGTTGGGATTTCCGTCTCGCTGTTTTCGGTTCGTTTCGCGATCCATGTTCTAACTGTGTTTAACAGCAGCTGTGTGTTGTCTTCCTCGTTTCTGTCAATTGTTGTCTTTTTTGGGTTGTCGTTGTTTTTTCTGTTTGGAGTTGCCGTTTTTCGCTCGTGCTGGGCCCCGCCGGTGTCGTCTTTGTTATAGGGTTGGGTTGCCGTTTTTCTTGTATCTGTTGGTCGACCGCAACACGAAAAGTTGAAAACGAACCAAAAAACGTCCCCAGCGCCTTTAAGAACAACTAACAGCCCACGAAGGCTGGTTTGTTTGATTGCCTGCTCGCGTCTTCGGGCTTCGACTGCGAAACTTGGGTGGGAGCGCGGTCTGTTGAGTGCTGCACTCGGTATGCCAAGCGGCGGCACCTCCCCCACGCAAGCATCGCATGGCAGCTCGGGAAATCGAACATCACCCAACGACTTGCCAGTGCCCACGAGAACACTTGGAAGTGGCCAGGATGCTACGACACGTCGACATCCTCGTGACCAATTCCATCACAACCATTGAAAAGATTCATCACCACCACCACCGTCACCATAATCCTCACCTGCGTCAACATCATAGTCCCTCCTCCTCATCCTCCTCCACCTCCGCCTCATCATCATCATTATCAGCATCATCATCATCAGCATCATCATCATCATCACCATCATCATCATCATCGTCATCATCATCATCAACAGCATTATCAGCAGCAGCATCCGCATCATCGTACTCATCAACATCAACAACAATATCGACATCATCGCCATCACCATCATCACCATCATCACAATCACCATCGCCGGCATCCTCATCGCGGTTATCATCATCATCACCATCATCATCAGCTTCATCACCATCATCATCATCATGCTCATAATCAGCATCATCATCATCATCCTCATCGTCATCATCCTCATCATCAATATCAGCATCATTAGCATCACCATATTCCTCAGCATTGTCGTCATCATCAGTATACATATTATCGGCATGGGCATCATCATCCTCTTTCTCGCCCTCCTCCTCATCGTCCTCGTCATCGTCGTCGACGTCGTCGTCGTCGTCTTCGCCGTCGTCGTCATCACCACCACCATCATCAGCATCATAAGCATCATCACGATCATCATCTCATCAGCATCAGGATTATCATCATCACCACCATCAGTATCATCATCAGTAGCATCATCATCACCACCATGATCATCATCACCACCACCACCATCATCATCAACATCATCATCACCATCATCATAATCAGCAGCATCATCATAATTCGTTCCTCTTCTTCCTCCTCCTGCTTCCTCCCTCGTCCTTGTCCTGCTCCATTCTCAAGGCCGTGAACGGCGACAACTAAACCGAACCCCCACCGAACCGAGAACCGAAAGCGAAGCCGAACCCGACCGACATCGACAGGCCGAACGCAACCTAGCAGGGCGCAACGACGCGGCAACGACACAAAAATCGACCGAACCGAACCGACAGAACGCAACCGACTGCGACACAACGGAACCGACCGAACCGTGAATACCCTTGCTTCACCCCCTCCCGCTCCCTTCTCATTTTTCATCCTGGCTCCTCCTCCTCCTCCTCTTCCTCCTCCTCCTCTTCCTTCTCCTATTGGCAACAAGAAGCCGCTGCAACCTTCACGCTGGCCACGCTGGCATCATCCCCGAGGCCTCGATCTCCACGAGCCGATCGGCCCCCATCATCCTTCTCCCCTCCCCCTCTGTCAGACCTCCTGCTCCTCCTCCACCCTCATACTCCATCCTCCATTCTCCTTATCCTTCTGTTCATCCTCCTCCTTCTCCTCCTCCCTCCCCTCCTCGCCCCCATCAGCCTGCAAGGAGTTCAGAAGCATCTGAACGCCCCGCGAATCTGCGAACACCTTCGAGGTCCACCGAAACCGGCTGGAAGTCGTCCAGACACATCCGGCACGCACCCGGCCCCCGACGGACATCCCGCACACGGACGGCGAAGAACCCCCGATATCCCTGGCCATCGACCTCCGCCGGGGAGACCAAGAGGTACCGATACCGCCACTCCTCGTACCTCTCCCGAGGTGCGTTCTGACCAGGATTCCGAGGCGAATCCAGCGGTGGCGACGAGGGCCTCCCAGGAGGCCCCAAACGGGGGAAACGAGGCAAGGGTGGCGGTATGAGCACCTTTTCCTCTGATCCCTTCTGCTCCTCGTCCACCTACTCCTCCGTGTACCCGTGCCAGCGCCTCATTCTTGAAGCCTCGATCTCGGCGTACTCCTCGATGAGCTGCTTGAGCGACCCGCCCCCCTCGGGGACCCAGTCCTTGCCAGGAGAGCTTGGGGGGGATGGCAGGAGGAGGGGAGGAAAGGAAGGGGGAAATGGGAAGGGAGCGGGGGGGGGCAGCTGGAGGACGCAAGAGGAGGAGGAGAAGGAGGAGGAGGAGGAAAGAGGAGCAGAAGGAAGAGGAGGATGAAAAGGAAAAGCGGCCGTGACCACCGAGTTAGAGCCCCAGCGCGAGGCGGGGCGAGAAATGCATTGTGGAACGCATGGGGTACAACAAAACAGCGAATTCCGGCAGGGGAACATCAGGTAGGGCAGCATGCACGACAGCAGATCACGAAGGCAGGAAGAGAGAGGGGAGGGACACGAAAAACAGAGACGAGAGGCTGAGGGAAAGGAGAGAGAGAGAGAGAAACAAAAAAAGGGACGCCGACAGGGGGGGACGACCAGAAGCACACCCAGGGCAGCACATGCCCCACCGCCGGCAGTGGCAGGCGGAGGACGAGGAGGAGGGCGAGAGAGAAGCGGAGCGGGGAGGGGGGCAGAAGGACGAGGAGGGGAACGGGGGGGAGGAGGACTGTCGGGAAACGCCGGCAGCCAGCGCTCCGACCCGCACGCGCACAGACATGGGCCATGGCCATGGCAACCGCGACGAGGGCTCAGTCCAAGACCTCGTCCGCCTGCCGCACCGCCAGGACATGCCCACATCCTCGACCGCAGGAGCCCTGCCCAGGGCCCCTGGGGAGCGGTGGGGCACAGAGGCGCCCCCGCCCTCGGAGGCGGGAAAGCCACCCGGGCCCAGCGCTGCCCGAGGCCCCGGGACAGACGACCCCGAAGCAGTGGATGAGTGGGTGCGGACATGTTCCGGCGGTGGACCTGAAGCCCCTGAGCGCCAGAGGCGGCATCGGCTGCCTCGTCGCGGGCGCGAGACCCATCCACATCCGCGGCCTCCTGGTCCGGACTCCTCGACCGCGCCCCCACGGATTCAGGGCGGCTTTCCGCGGATACCCCGCGCGGAGCGAATCTGTGCGACCGCGCATCCATGGAATCCCAGGTCACTGGTTTTTGAATTGAAAATTGGTTTTTAAATGAAAAACAATTTTCCTGAATTCAAAAACTGTTTTTTTTGACTTCAACAACTTTTTTATTCAAGAAATATATTTTCTGTTTTAATGATTCATCAACAAAAAATCGCCCCTCGCGCCCCGCGATGCGCGACGTGATGCCGTCTTCACGCCGCCCCCCGGGACAGGGCTGGCTCGGCGGCCCCGGGGCGCGGAGGTGCGAAGCGGGGCCAGTGCCTCGGCCCCACCTGGGGGCGGCGCGGGGGATCGCGTCCCGGAACCCAGAGCGCCAGGGCACGGACAGGGATCTGTCCGTCGCTCTCCAGCGTTGCTTGCCGGGGGGGGGGGCGCTGAACGATGGGGCGAACCGAGGTGCACGTTTCGCGTACCTTCGGGGCCCCACGCTGCCCCGTTCAGGGCCCATTTCCTGCAACCCTGGACGCCCCCCCGCCCCACCCACCCGCTGATCTGGAGGTTAGCCGGCGTGGACCCCAAACAATCATGTTTTGCAACCTATGCGGTGCAATCTAGGTGGTGCAATGAATGTGGTGCAATTCCAGTGGCGCAAATCCACGTGGTGCAATATATGAGGCGCAACGCTACGCACAGCCATACAATGCAGTGTCAAGCAATGCAAAGCAATGCAAAGCAATACAAAGCAATGCAAAGCAATGCAAAGCAAGGCAGCGCTATGCGAAGCTATGCAAATCTGTGCAAAGCTGCGCAAAGCAAAGGCAAAGCTACGCGGAGCCACGCAGAGCAGCAATGCACAGCGCAGCAGGGCAGCTCCGTGAACAGCCGGGCAAACTGGTGTAAAGAGATACCAAGGCAGTGCAAAGCAGTGGAGAGCAGCGCAAGTCAGTGCAACGTGCGAGCCTCGCATCGTCAGACTCGGGACCGAGGCCAGCGGCGACGGGGGACGCCGGGCGGCCTCTGGCCGGCCGGACCGACGACCGAGCCCCCACACCATCAAAAGGCAGGGGCCCAAGGACACACAAACAAGTACACCAATACAAAGATGCCCCACATTTTCCTATATGTTTTGGGGGCTTGTCGTCTCCCCCCCACCTCCCGTATTTTCCCGCACTTCCTAAGGAATCGGCGATTCACTGTGCCTGTGTTCCTCTTTCCCTCCTGACAAACACCGTGACCAGAGCCGGCGGCGACGGGCGGCCACGAGCCGGCCAGACCGACCAGCAGGCCAAGCTGATCAGGGGGCCACACATGCGGACCCTACCCCTGCCCCCCACGATTTTGGGAGGGGGAGGGTGGGGTAGGGTTCGCATGTGGCCCCCTGATAGAACAGAGGTCCCCCCCCCCCCAGAACGATTACCCCGGCACGCGACGTCGTTTAGCAGACGCGCCCAAAGCAGTAATCGGACAGGGCAGGGCTGTTTAGTAGACGCCCGGGGCCGTTTAGTGAACGCCAGTTGTCGGGTCGGGGTGGTTCTTCCTCCCCTGATAGAAGAGAAGCAAGAACCCCTATAAGTGCAAGCACTGGTTGGGGAAATATTGGCGGTGCGCACAAGGGGGAGGAGTGAGGGGGGAGGGCTTCGTAGAAGGAGGCTGCTTCTTAGAAGGCGCCGGCCTTACATCTGCAGATAAGGCCCGCGCCTTCTGAGAAGCAGGGGTGCTTGTGAGAAGCCCTCCCCCCTCCCCCCATCCCCTCTGCGCGTGGCTGACAAGGCAGCGCACACACACACACACACACCGATCCTGGTCGGGCCCATCCCGACCCGAGAATCGGTGCACGCGCCCTCGCGGCTCGGCCGGGCAGGCATGTGCGTCAATCCGAGGCCCAGGAGGGGCCTCGACAGGGTAGGCGGGTGTGCATGCTCTGAGATCCGAGGCTGCGAAAGACGACAGCATCGCGAGGAATCACGCCCAGAGCCCCAGACCCGATTTTTCTCAGGCATTCTTCTTCGAGAGGAGAAGGTGGAGAAGGAGGAGAAGGAGGAGGAGGAGGAGGAGGAGGAGGAGGAGGAGGACCGATCTGTGAGGGTCCTGGGGCCCGAAACGATGCAAAATCAACACTTGCGACAAAACTGCGACGCCGAGACCTCAAGGTAGCTCCCTTCGCCGGACGATCGCCCCCCAGTGCGGACACACCTGACGTGCATGGGCGTCGTTGGGCGTTGCTTATTGTGGGGGCGACGAACGCGGGGTGCGGGGGATGGAAGCACCTCTCGTGCCCGTCTTGGGCTCCAGAGGGCCCCTTTTGGGA